ACTAGATTGAAGAACAATATGACAGCAACTTGTCTGTTCCCCTTACCCCAATTCCCCAGCACTGTTCCTATCCCCCTAATTCCCCAATAAAAATCTTTAAAAAAAAAAAAAAACCATTCCACCATCACCATGCACCCCCCAACCCCCCTCATCCTCTCAGGGTCTCTCACGCTGGGGGTGGGGGTGGGGAATTGGGTCCTGTGGTGCTCCCAGCAGTCCCCTGGGCCCCAGGGGAGCCCAGACGGTGCCCATCCTGACTCCACACACCACCACTCTCCAAGAATATGAAAGATAGTTTATTGAATCTATACGTCTCCTTTAAAATCTTCAAACATAAAAGCTCTGTAACAAACATCACAACTTAGTGTTATCTGTCATAAATAAAATATACACTAAGATGTACATTATCCACAGGGGGAGGTGCGCCAGGGTCCTGAAGGTGACACACCCACATGGGAGCGGCCTGGCGAACCTCAGGGCTCGGTGCCCCGCGTCCTTCCGGCCACCTAGGGCGGGGGCGAGCGGAAGCGGACTTTCTTGGCTGTTTCCACGTCGGACTTGGCAACGAGAAACCGCATCTTCCTTCCCCCGTGTCGGATCAGGTCCACGGCTCTGAAACCCAGGCAGGGGCTGAGGACGGCGTGACCAGCTTGCACGAGGTAGGCGGGGCCTTCTGGACATGCCCGGGAGGGGGGCCCAAGCCGTCACCCCCAAGGGTCCCCCAGTGGACGGGGCTGCGTGATGACCTGGCCACGAGGAGGCGCCTGGGCTCATGCTGCCCACCCCACCCTGGAGGTGCTCGGCCCCTGGTGGAGCTGGTGGTCATCAGAGGTCAAGTGAGGGAGGGGTGGGTGGGAGGTGGCCACAGGGAGCTGGGTGGGGGCTGGGCCTCCACTCCCTCATCTCTAGAACGGGGTGATGGCAGGACCTGGGCACAGGATCCAAGTGAGCAAGGCTTGTCCTGAGGTGCTGGCCCACACAGGCCGAGGTGTGTGTTTTGGGGGGTACCTCAGGTAGCTGACACCCAGCAGGCTGCTGCCGTTCACCTCCAGGATTTGGTCTCCCAGCGACAGCCGGCCGTCAGCCGCTGCGGGACTGCCCGGGAGCAGGGTCTGGATGTAGAGGCCGGGGGTGCCCAGGGGTGTGTGCTGGGGTGGGGACGCAGAGGCCTCAGGGCTCTGCGGGCCCCAACACTCAGGTGGTCCCAGCCAAGGCCACCTCAGCCCCACCTTCAGCCAAGAGGCCCAGCCTGGCCCAGGTCATCACTGTGTCTGTGAGGACAGCACTAGATACCAACATTGTCCCCACAGGCCCAGGACACATGCTTCCAGGTCTGAGGACAGAAGCGACACAGCAGCTCGGGGAGGTAGCTCCTAGACGGGGCCTTTTCCTTTCTCTCAAATTCCAGAGATGCCAAACCCCTTGTCCCAAGCCCTTGGTGGGCCACCCCACCTACCCCCCCAGTGACCACACACGCTGTGGGCCCATCTCTGGCAAACAGGGCACCGTCACGGAACAGGAGCCCAGGGGCCACTCACCATCCCATCAATCAGGCCCATTCCCAGCCCTGAGGGGCCGCGTTCCAGTTCCACCAGGAAGACGTAGCAGAAGTCGTCAGTGCTGGAGCTTTGGCTGGAGGGGGCTGGAGGGGGCTGGTCCTCCGGGGCCACACCGTCTCCTGGGTGGGCAAGAAAAGGTGCAGGTACCTGTCCCCAGAGTCCAGGACCCAGGGATGTCGGCTCAGCTGCTTCCCCAGAGGACAAGTGCTCACGGAGCTCCAGTGAGATGCCATTTGGGAAGACCATGAACAGCAAGTCCCCAACCCCTGTGTGCCTGGAAGGGGCACCTGGGGCCTCCCCATGGCTGCCCCAGGACACTGGCCTCTCTCAGAGGCCGGCTGTTTCCAGGGCACTGAGAGGGACTCTGCTCAGGCTCATGCCCGAGTGCCCCAGCCTTCCCTCCTCACTCTGCAGAACCCTCCGGAGCCCCCTTTCCTCTCCCACTGCGCCCCTGTCCCTCCCAAGTGTCTGACCTGCTGACTGACGGCTCCCTGCTCCTGGGACCCAGCCCAGCATGAGGTCCCCAGGGAGCTCATCTTTGCAGCCTCCACTCCCGACCCTGAGGGTCCTGTGCTTTCTCCATGAGGTCAATTGTGGTACCCACCCGTTCCCCCACACACAGGTTACTGGCCTCAGGAACAGTGGGGGCCCAGCTCTACCCAGGTGACCCCTGCCCTCTGGACACACTCCAAATTCCACAGGAGCACTGAGGACTCAGGTCAGGACTGCTGAGCCCCCCCCACCCCCCACCCCCACGGGGCTGGGCTCGGGGCGCTCTGCCCTCCACTGCCCTTCCAGCCCATCCAGCCACATGCATTCATGTGCACACACCCCCAAACACGCCCTGCTCCCCGCCCTCCCCCGTCCTCCAGATCCCTGCTGCTGAACGCACATCGCCTGAGCCATCCCGTCCTAGTTCCCCAGAAGGCTGCATCTAGCCCAGCTGCCCTGCGCCCTCGCCCTCCCCATCTGCCCCTGGAGCCTGCAGGCGGGTACTGAAAGCCCAGGACCCTGTGGGTGAAATGACCCACAGATGCCAGCAGGACCTGGGGGCTGAGGTGCAGGTGTGAACAGGCCTCACCTTCAGGAGTCGTCCCCCGGGAGCCACTTGGTCCATTCCTCCTCCCTTCCAGGAATGCTTTCCCACAGGGCCCACCAGGGTCGGGCCAGTCAGGGCCAGTGGGCTCAAGGGGGGTGCTGGGGGGCGTGAGCAGGCAGGAAGAGTCTGTGTGCAGAGGGCCGGCTTGGGGGCCCCCGCGGCTCCCGCGGCTTGGCTGCTTTCCTGGAGGGCCCTGTGCCCGGGGAGCCCCGGCAGAAGGTAGATGGTGTGCCAGGCCAGCTTCACGGACTCCCCTGCTGGGGTCCCTGGGAGCCAGAGGGCAGCTCTGGCCCTCGGGGTGCCCCTCAGGGGTGGGGTGGTTTGAGCCCTGGAGAGAGACGAAGAGCTCAGGCAACAAGCTCCCGCCACGGTGCAAGAACCGAGGGGGCCCCAGCTCCCACGCCCACTCTTCCACAGGGCCAGCAGCCCGGCGCTGTATCCACCCCACTGTCAGAGCCAGAGCCACGGACCGGTGACTCACAGGTGCCTCGAGGCCCTCGGGCTGGGGGGGCCCACCGCTGGGGCTGGGCTTGCTCCGCAGGCCCCACAGGAAGTGGCGCACGTAGAGAAGGTGCTGGTAGATGCTGTCGTCCAGGCCGTCTGCCTCCAAGTCCACCTGGAAGCCCTCGCTTGGCAAAACGATGGGTGGGGGGTTCTCGTAGGACTCCAGGACGTCGTCTGTGGGTGGGGGGCAAGGACTGCTGACCTCCTGGCCAGGAGGAGGCTGCCCTCCCCTCCCGACACGGGGACCCAGTGACAAGCAGGCTGACCTGCCAAGGACAATGGCGGGGGCATCCAGGCCAGGCTGACCAGCCCAGTCTGTGCTCTCATCCCTTTCAGATCCCTGTGACCACCCAGGATGAAGAACAAGGCAGGAGCTTTCCCCACCCCCAACGCCTGCCTGCGCCCGCTGCCTGCCCATGCCCAGAGCTGAGCCCGCTCAACCCAAAAGTCTACAGCCCTGAGCGGACACCTCCCATGGCCCCCGGGATCCTGACGGCCCGTTTGCATGTTGGTCTCTGTACTAAAACATGAGCATCTTCCAGCCAGCAGGGAGGCGCCACTCCCCACACAGAGCCCTCCCTTCCAAGGCCTCAGCAATGAACAAGTAAGTGGGAGGGGCAAACGCTGTCCAGTGCAGCCTGGAGTCCTGCTCGGAGATGGTCTCAGTCCAGGCCAAGCCCCTAGGTGACAAGGGCGTAGGGGGATGGTGTTGGAAGCCCTACTGTATCTGTGTCTTCTACCATCCTTTCATTTCTGTTTTTGTTATACATAATGCTAATGAAGAGATGCGAGTCTGATCTATAAAAGGTACATGCCTGCGCGCGTACACATCCACATGTACAATGTGTGTGTGTGTGCATGCGTGTACATACATGGCACGGGTGCTCCTGATGGGCAGCACAGTGGCTGGAACCCAGCGTGGAGACCCTGCTCTCTTCCTGGTGGGCCGTGCCCCTGGTGAGGCCCCTTCCTCAGGCTCCATGAGGAGCAGGGCAGATCTTTGACCTGCGCCCGACGCTTGGAAGGGCATGGACTGTGCGCTCACTGACTTCCAGCTGTGGAGGCCCCCAGGGGTGGACAGGACAGGGTATCCAAGGAGGAAGACGGACCAGGGTGGAGGTGCCAAGTGCTGTGCAGGCTCCTCCAGGGAAGGTCCTCCCAGGAGGCTCTCCCTGCCCCCAGCATGGCCCACAGGGCCCCTCGGTCCTGCCCAAGGATGGTGCTCACCTGACTTGAAGGCGTCCGGGCGATCCTGGGCGACAGGATCCCAGGCACTCATGGGGCCCATGGCCGAGGCCAGCTGGTACTGAGTCAGCAGCCGGTGCAGCTGCGCGGGACTCAGGGCAGGGAAGGCGGTCCGCAGGTTTGCCCAGCTCATCTGGGTGACAAAAACAAGCTCAAGGTCAAGGCCCTAGGATGGTGCAGCCCATCCCCAGGGAGGGTCTGCCTTCTGAGTGCTCTGGGGCAGAGGCAGAGGGCCAGGACTCCTGGCCACGTGTCCCCAACCAGCACGCAGGCCCCTGTTGTCCATGAGGGATGGCGAGGTCATTGGGGGGGTGAGTCACAGGCCGCTGCAGCATGGCCGCCCCACAGTGGGCAGCTCACCCCTAGCTGCCTCATGGGTGTCTAGGCTGAGAGCCGAGTGGGGCGGCCATTCCCGGAGAGGCCAGTGTCGTCCACTGAACATGCCGTCATCACAAGCTTACTAGGAAATGGGAAAATGAAATAGGGTCCCTGCATCATACGACATAAAAGAAACCAAGCAGGAGAAAGACATGGTGAAGGCCCAAACGACATCGTTTAGCTGACACAGGAGGCCAGCTTTATGAGCTCGGGTAGGACCAGCTCCCTTAAACAAGACAAACGGCACAGGCCCTGAGGACAGGGCTGACTCGCAGCACTGAATACCCTTCGCGCTCCCCGCGTCCTTCGTCCCCACCACGCTGGAGCCCCTCTCCTTTGCTGGTGCCTGGGACGCCTTTCTTCTGCTCGCCAGGCTACCCCTCCTTTCTGAGACAGAGCCTCTCGGAACTCCCGGGAAACGCCACACTAGGCGAACACGGGCAGCCCGGCCTGGTGGCAAGCGTCTTCCCTGTCCTCTCCCACGAGCGTAGGAGTTTGGCTGCTCCGCCACTCCTGCCCTCTACCTTCCCGTGCTGCTCGAGACGCTGGAAAGCACTCTGGTGGCCAGTCTTCACACATGTCATTTTCCTCCCTCTCGGTTTATCTGCCCGCTGTTCTGACACCCGCAGTGTGGGTCTGGGTGCGATGCTGCTTCAGGCTGTGCTTTTTTGCTTGTTGGCTACACTTTCAGTCTAGAAACTCGCCGCCATGTGGGTCTGGGGGTTGTCTTGGTTTATCTTTATTCCTTTGCCACTCTTTTCTCTGCTCTTTCTGGACTCCGGTTTGGACGTTGGGCCTCATTCATTGGTCCTTCCGTTTTTCTTCTTGTTTCTTTCTCACATGATTTTACAGCCAACATCAAGAGGCCTGAGCTGTGGTAATCAAGTGTCTACACTAAAGGGACAGTGTCCTTAGGGTACGTGGGGGGTGGCAAGGGCAGACCCTGGGGGTCTGCAGCCCCCCACCCCTGCCCAACCCCACCCTAAACACACACCAGCTCAAGACGGCCGTCGTTTGCCCGGGGGCGACACTTCTCTGTTTTTGAGCTCCTAGAACCCACGCTTCCTTCTCACGGCTGTGGCTCTTCCGGGGCTGGGCCGGGAGGGCGCCAGCAAAGGCACTGAGAAGTCGCCCTGCGGGGACTGAGTGCGCTCCCAGTCCCGTCTCACCATCTCTGCTTTCTGGGTGATTGCTTCGACTCTATCTTCTAACTCTGCTAGTGTAATTTTAATTTCCAAGAATTCTTTTTGTTCTCTTATTTATAGAATCTTATTATTTTATGGATACTACATCTTATCGTTATAAGGATATAAATTTCTTTTCAAAAAGTCTCTCCTGTCTGAATAGTCTGTTTCAGAGGGTGGCAGGCTCTGACCTGAGGCTTGTTTCTGTATGGCAGTCAAGCTGAGACTAATTGTGCAATTAGATTGGGCCCATGGGATAACCCAGGCCAATCTCCCCATCTTAGGGTCCTTAACCCTAATCACCTCTGCAGAGCCGCCTATACCACATGGGGTCACATAGTTGTCAATCAGGGATGAGACACAGACATCTTTGGGGCCATTATCCTGCCTTCAGGTGGGAGCAGTTGTGGAACTAAAGCAACTCTGCAAGTTCTTGGAGGCCCAGAAGCCACGTCCACGGCCCCCGGCTTAGTCTGTTGTCCCAAGAGTGACAACACATGGCCCCCACCCCACTCCCACTGCTCTCTGCGCCCCTCCTACCTGGATGAGCTGGGCACGGGGAGTGGCCAGCAGGTTGAGTGTGCAGGAAAGCTTCCGGAAGAAGCGCTCCCCGGCCTCCCCAAAGCCGGCGCTCCGCGTCCACTCCAGGAGCTGCTGCAGGCGGGCACAGGCCTGGACGCCTCTGGGCCAGTGGAAGCAACTCAGGGAGGGGCCTGGAAGGGAGGAGGAAGGTGAGGCCGGGCCCACCCTCCCAGGGCGAGTCAGGCCCCAGCTGGTCCCCTGTGCCTGTCCTTGCCCCGCTCCAGGCTCCAGGCTTCAGAAGACGGGGTAAGACCTTTACTGGTTTCCAAGGCAACAAACTGCTTGTGGGCCCCTCTCTAGGAGGGGGTGGGGTAGGCATGGGAGGTGGGGGTGCAGGCGGCAGGGATGGGCTGTGACAGCCACTGAATCCCAAGTACAAAGGGACGTGGTCCAGGCCTCTTGCTCCCGACCCCCACGCTGCCTTTTGGACCTCGCACCAGCCCGGGAAGTCCACTCCGGCGACACGCATGTGGTGGGGCTCATCCCTGCACTCATGTCCCCGACTCCCAGCAGTGCCCCTGGGCCCCTGGGCGGGGTGACAGAGGAATGCCTGGGTGGCAGGGAGGTGGGGTCCAAGGTCACATCGTTCCCTCTGTCAGGGGGGCTGTGGGGCTATGTGGGGATAAAGGGAGCCAGGAAAGGCCTGAGGGGCGCTGTGCAGACCACAACCCCCCCCCCTTTTCCCGGGGCCTCTCTGCAGACACTGCAGAGGCTCCCGCTCCTATGGGGACACGCTCTGTAACATCGCCTGCTCTCTTGGGCCTCTACCTGCCACCCCCATGGCACCAGCCTGGACCCCCATGGATCAAGACCCCCGACCACGGCGCAGCGCCCTCAGGAGCCGTCTCCAGGGCTCAGCCTGGCCGCTCACCCTTGTCCAGTAGCTGATTGAAGAGCAGAGTGCTGGAGAAGAAGAAGAGATAGGCCAGCACCTGGGCGGCAATCTCGGGGTGCACCTGGGACTGCCGCAGCAGGTCCAGGGCGGCCTGGTACACAGACACCACGCGGCGCAGCTCCTCGGGCAGCTGGGGGGTCGAGCACCAGCTGTCCCGGCGCTCCGTCTGGAAAGGGGGGCATTCCAGCAGGGCCGGCAGGCAGACGTACAGGGACTGGGGGTGAGAGGAAGACAGCACAGCCGTTGGCAGGGGCCCAGGCCTAGCGAGCTCCTGCCTTGGCAGACGGCCCTCGTAACGCATAGCCCGGCGGGGTTGGGGCTCCCGCGAGCGCTGCCTGAGGGTGCGGGGGTCTGTACAAGCTCCTGTTAAAGGTGCACATGGCACCGGGAGGCACACAGACGCTGCAGCAAAGGGGCTGCAGGCACCTGAGGGTCAAGGGGGCGGAGGCTGAGCCCTCTTCTTGTTTTACCAGAAGTTTCACTGGATGGAAGAGTGGTGAGTAGGGGCACTTCAAGTGGGTCCCCACAATTGGGGGGCTCTCTTTAGAATGTAGGGTGACTGTCACATTTGGTCCCTGAATAGACTGGACAAGCAGGCACTCCCTAGTGATGGCTGAACTGGTGGACGTGCGCTCGGAGCCACTGGACAGCATTCCATGGACCCTCAACCTGCTTGGCCAAGGACACGGCAGAACAGTGTTGTCCAGGGGAAACCAGGCCTCGGAAAGGCCAAAGCCAAGGTCAGGAGGCTGCAGAGGCACCAGACGTGCCTGGCTCGCTTCCAGCACTGACGTCTGCTCAGCTTGGAGGCCTGAGACTCCTGACGCCAGGAACGAGCAGCCAGGTTTGGGGCCATGAGCTGCTGACCACCCTTAGCCTGCTGGGACAGTGCGTCCGGGAGAAGGGCCAGGGCCCCTGCAGCCTGGCACCACCACACACCCATTCCACCTTTCAAATGGGTTTCCCCAGAGCAGCCGCCCCTCTGCCTCCCACGCTGCTGGCCTCCCAAGTCAGGCCTGGATGGCTCATGGGACCAGAGTGACAGTGAGCGAGAAGGGAGAAGAAGTAGAAGCTGGCACTCAGGTGGGGAGAGGCTGCCAGTTAGAGCTCAAGATCCTTGGGTGACAGGTGGGAAAAGCACGACGTTCCTTTCAGGTTCCCCGAAATCCCCCTTGGAGAGCCGGAGGACACAGGCGCCGCCCCCCGCAGCTGCGGGCTCACCTTGGAGACGTAGTACACGCACTGCTGGAACGTGTACAGGATGACCTCCTCCAGCACCGCCATGGCCTCCTCGCTGGCTGAGAGCGCGCAGGAGAACAGGGACTCCTTCGAGCCTGCAGGGACACAGCAGCACAGGGGTTACTGAGTAGGGACGGCTGGGCCTCAGTGCACGCGTGCAGGAACCTTCCAGAATGGTAGCGACTTCAGACGTCCTCCCAGTTACCTCCTGAGTGCACTCGCCCAACGCTCCCATCTTAGGTTTGGAAAATGTGATAAAGCCAAAGCCACAGAGGCACCCAGGCCAACCTCAACCCTGCCTGCCACCCCTCCCCCAGGGTCCCAAGGGGTCCCCAAATGCAGGAGAGCCCGCAGGGAAGACGCTGTTATGTCTTTCGCCTCAGGGAGGGAGGGAGACCCCGTCTGTGCGAGGCACTTGGGCCTCCCCAGGCGGGGGCAGTAGCTGGGCAATTGTGGCTACAGCAGAGATTGAGGGGCTGGCCAGGGGAACCTGCCCAGCAAGGGGAGAGAGGGTGTCAGCGGACGCCAGTGGGTTCCTTCCCTTTGGGGAGGGGTTCCTGGAAAGGCAAGAGGCCAAACTGGCAACAGGATCCCCAAAACCAGAGGCCCCAACAGGATGGGACCTTCCAGAATGTGGGGAGGCATGTGGTGTCACAGTGCCTGTGTCCTACCAGCATTCGGGGGCAGTGGACGCTGGACCCCCCATTTGTCCTGCACTCTCTGAAATGCTCGCTTCTTTACGAGGAGCTGCAGGCCAGCGGCTATGGTGCTGTGTCCAGTGCCAAGGGAACCGAGCCACAGCCCAGTCCACCCAGCGGCTGTCCTCGCTGCCTGTTCACCCAGGGAAGCCCTCTGATTACCCGATTACCGCACAGCAGGGCCCCACTGCCGGAACTCTCCGCCCAGGGCTGGAGGGCGGTGCCGGGTCCACTAGAGCCAAGAATCGCTCCCAGCACGAAACTGGCCTCCCAGGAGCACAGGGACCGGCCGCCCTGCTGCTGGACATGGACGGGAAGCAGTGCGCCGGCCATCAGAGGCCCAACCCCTGCCAACACCTGCCGCCACTGTCACTGCTGTTTTGCTCCTCATAGCGTTTCTCCTTCAAGTACTTGGGCTCTCCTGCCCCGGGGCCCACAGAGTCCCCACACGCTCCCGGGGCCTCTCCAGGGCCCGGCCTGTGGGGTCACCTGGCCGAGTCTGGATGCCTCACTGGGCAGCAGGAGGGGCCCTGGGTCTGGGGGAGCAAGAGGCTCTTAACAGGCTGCCAGCGGCAACGCTCCTTTCTTCCAGAAGGCTCCAGGCCTGCGGGAGCACACAAGGCTTCCTGGAGGCCCAGGACAGAGGCCCCCCTCTGGGCACTTGAGGACCCCACCCTCAGCCTATAGGCGCTGAGACAGAGCTACAAGACTTACAGGATGATTTTAAATGGATAAAATAACCCCTCCCCTTAGAGGGGCTAATCTTTCATCTGCCTGTGCAGACGAGGCCTCCTGGGTAAGAGCTTTGGACAAAAAGACTGTTTGGGGAATGAGAAAGCGATTTTTCCAGCTTTCAGGACGTGACATCTCTGTTGTTAGAATTCTTCCCACAGATCCTTCCTGCCGAAGGTCAGGAGGCCGAGGCACCGGCTGTAGCCTCTGGCCGATGTTATTTTTCCTCTGAGCTCTCCAGTGCCTGCAGCACACAGGACACTGTCTCTGGTTCTGCTGTGGCTTCCCTGCCAGCCACGAGGTCCCTGGGGTCTGCAGAGGCGGGACCTTGGGCGCCCACGTGCTCACACTCCCCGCATCTACTGGGCTCCACAACATCCAGGCCCCGACCAAAAATAACTTCCTCCTCAGATTGGAAGTGGCAGCTAAGGAGGCGGTGCTCCCGTCACCCCCAAGCAGCTTTTCCCATGAAAACCAGCCAGACGCAGGTCCCAGCCTGGGCGAGGCAGGCCCAGAGGGGCACCCAGAGCTGCAGCCTCTCAATAAGGCGACAAGAAGGCGTCACTAGGACTTGTCACTGAATGCTGTGCCTAAACGTCATGGGGGCGGGAGGCTGTCCCAGCTGACACTTTCTGCTGGAGCCAGAATAAATGGGGCTCCCTTGAGCACACCCCAGCTCCTGGCATCGCACAGAAGGATGGCGTGCACTTGGAGACAGGCCAGAGGCCCAGGTGCTTGCTGGCCAACGCCAGGTCCAGAAGAGCCGCTCCCACTCAGATCGCGCTGTGGTCCTGGGCAGCGGGAGGGCCTCCAAGGAGACAAGTGGGGTTTGGAGAGAGAGGTGACCACAGGCCTTGCAAGCAAGACAGGCCGGGCACAGGATCCAGGAGTGCCAGGCCCAGGGCAGGCAGGCTGCAGAGGGCGGTGAGGTGCCCTGGCAGACGCGTGGAGCTGTTCATGTCACACACACGGGAAGCTGGGTGACAGGTCTGTTTCACATGCAGGCCTTGTGGACAGAGACGGCAGTGGCCCGTCCTGGGAGATCTAACAGCGTCCACCCAAGGGGACTAAGGCATGGAGGCAGCAGGCCAGCAGTCCCCGAAGGCCCACTGGGATGCACAAGGATCCAGATCTTCCCTCCACATGCCCACGGGAGCCCAGATGCCAAGGCCCACACAAGTTCACTGTGAAATCGGGGATGAGAAAATACCAGAAGCCATGACGGACAGAAAGGAGAGTAGACAGACCCTGCAATTTCCTCGGACCCTGCTCGGACACCCACAGGGGCCCGGCCCCCTCCGTGCACTGCGGCTTCCTGGCCAGCGGCTCTCAGTCCAGCCCATGTCCACAGCCCAGCTCCTGGCGGCCACCTCAGCACAGGCCTCATGAAGCACAGAGTGGGACAGTCGGCCCCTCAGACCACCACCCCTCCCCGGGTGAGGTCCAGGGCCTCAGGCTGTTCATTCAGGCTCTTTCCATGGAGCCCAAGGCCCCCTCTCAGGAGACATGATTGAGCACACAGAGACATTGTGCTGCATCCAGCAGACCCCGCCAGACCCCATCCTGCCTGCCTGGCCTCCCTCCCAGCTCCCAGCGCGCCTCCCGCTACTGCAGCCTGGGCCCCAGAGGCTGCCAGGGCACGCCTGCTCCGGATCCCTGCAGCTGGTGATACAGTCCGGAAACAGGCCAAGGTCCCACAGACCGGACCTGAGCAGCTTTGTTTTTGCCACGGCTCTGCAGGCAAAACCAAGCTCACCCTGGGTGCCCAGCTGTCACATCCCGTCCCAGCAAAGGACAGTCCTGCTGTTCCTTCTCGGCTCCATCCCAGCACCCACCACGCCTCTCCAGGCCCCACATAGTCCTCATCAGACCACACCAGCTGGAATCCCACGCCAGCCTCAGGGCACAGCCACACGCCACCTCCCTCATGAAGCCCTCCCAGACGCCCCATCAGAGTCACGCTCTCGCTCAGTGCTCCCTGAGTACACAAATGCTAAGACGCACATTGTCCCACACTTTAGTCTCTGAAATCGACGTGCATTATACAATTCTACGACTGTCACTTGGACGTGCCTCCTTTCTGAAATAGTGGAGCATCTCGTAAGGGACAATGGCTTGGGGCCAGTGCACTGCAGTCCTTCCACCTGTGTACACTGAGTGACCTGTGTCCCTCCAGGTCTCCCCCAGGCAGAACACAGTGCGACAACACATGAAATGATGAGGACAGAGTTCTGAGGCGCCGTGGACGACAGGGGTCAGGTTAGCCCAACCATTAGTGTCCCTTCCATCTCAGGGGATCCACCCCTGTTCTAGTGGCCAGCCCTACGCTGAGACGGCACAGTGACACCACGCCGACCACTCTCACCTGGTCTGGGAGCGCCAGCACGAACCCTACCTGTGACATCCAGCTCCTCTTCCAAGCTCTGCATGTACAGCGGGCACTTCTGCTGGATGAAGTACAGGAGCTCAATGGAGTTGGACATCCAGAACAGAAGGTGCTGCAGGTCGGGCACCAGGCCGGCCAGGGAACCGCTGGCTGAGGAGACGGGCTCCTGGCTACCGAGACAGAAAGCCTGCGAGTCACACTTGGACCATCGCTGCACAGACGGACATTTGTTTCAATGGGATACTAAGAAAAACTACGCGATTTGTCAACCTGCCAAGGTAAGGCTGGGAAATTAGATATAGATACCTGACCTGTTTGACACCCGACAGCCAGATGCACATCTACAAACCTTAGCAGGAAGTCAGTGGCCACAGCCATTGGCAGAGGACTCTCTGGTAAATAAACCATTTTCCTATCTTTTCTTTTGGAATTAGAGAATTAGGTAGCTATAAATATCAGACTGTGTGCAAATGCGTGTCCGTGTGCACGGGGCGGGGGTCTTTCATCCTGCCTGGCATAGGGCAGCTCAGGGACTCGCTGGTGTCACAGGGACCCGGCGGTCCTGGGGAATCAGGCCTATGGGAAAGCCACTGGGGCCATATCTGTGGCAGGGCTCCTGGGGAAGTGTCCAGGGGAGTGGGGGCACTGAGGCCAGTCTTCCTCCGTGTCTGTCCCTGCTGAGCAGCCACGTGGGCCGAGGGGCAAACTCAGGCTCCCTTCCCCACGTTCCCCTTGTGCTGGCAGTTTTGCTCTCTCTGCCATCACTTCACTTTTGTCCACAGTGTGACCTTCTGTCCTCCCTGGGAGGGAAGGGACTGGCTTCAGACCGTCTCCTGTGTAGACGGCTAAGCAGGTATGCCAGCTTATCTCGTGCATCTCAAAGGCCTGCTCCTTTTCGTCCCTTCTGGTTTGAATGACACATGTATGTACACACAGCATCAGGAGTTCATGCCGTTAACAAAGGATTAATCCGGCTCTTCAGAGTCTAATTCTATTTTGTTTTCAACATTTATTGCCCTTCTCAGTTTCACCCAGAACTCAGAGGCACAGATAGGCCGCTACTGAAAGCTAAACCACCAGGATTGCCAGCTGGAGTTTCGGTGTCAATCCCAGCGAGGTCAACATCGAGAGCACGCCGCCCGCCAGCCCCAGCCACACGCTGTGCGGCACAAACAAGGTGCAGCGGGGCCGTCCCACCCAGTCAGGTGAGCACCGAGTGGGGACAGCGGTTCATGGATCTGTCACCAAAGGTGTAGGCCACAAAAGTAAAACCAGACAAGTGGGACTATGTTAAACTGAAAGCTTCTGCTCAGCAAAGGGAACAGCAGGGTGAGAAGGCACTTACGGAGTGGGAGGAAGTGTCTGCAAACCACATATCAGATAAGGGGTTAATTTCCAAAACATAAGGGAGCTCCTACAACTCAAAAGCAAAAAAACTAATAACCTGATTAAAAAATGGGCGGAGGACCTGAATAGACGTCTACAAAGAGGACGCACAGATGGCAACAGGGACGTGAAAAGGTGCTCAACACCACTAATCATCAGGGAAATGCAGATCAGAACCACGATGATACAAATCTATCAATTCCATCGACTCCACTCCCCGCACTGCACTCCAGATATGTATGATATCGGGGGAGGGGCTGGCTGACTGGGGGAAGGGGTGGTCACTTTGTGAGGGGTGAAAAGTATAACTACTGCATTGTTTTGTGCACCTAAAACTGATAATAAAAAAAGAAAAGAAAAAAACCATGATGAGATGTCACCTCACACAAGTCAGAATGGCGATTATCAAGACAAGGATAACAAGTGTCTGTGAGGTGGAGAAAAGGGAACCCCCGTGCCTTGCTGGTGGGAATGTGAAACGGTGCAGCTGCTGTGGAAAGAAGTGTGGAGGGTCCTCGAAAATTAAAAGTAAAACTACCATATGATCCAGCAATTCCACTTATGGGTATTTATCCAAAAGAATTGAAATCAGGATCTCCAAGAGATATAAGCGCCCAGTGTTCACTGCAGCATGATTCACGACAGCCAAGATGAGGAAACAAACTAAACGTCTATCGACAGACGACTGGATGAAGAAAATCTGGTACAGGATACAAGGGAATATTATTCACTCTTTTAAAAATCAGGAAATCCTGCAATGTTCGACAACATGGACGAACCCTGAAAACATGATGCTAATAAGCGGAATGAGTCAATCCCAGGAGGACAGTTACTGTGTGATCCTCCAGCCCCCAGGGGTGTTACGGGTAAAATGGCACATTCTGTGGAAGCTGACATTGGACAGTGGAGACGTGCTGCCCTCCGTACGTTTTCCTAGAGAAGTCGGCTCGCTTCGACGGAGTGATGATTGAGGGAGGGCAGGGAAGACTTCCGAGGGTCTTGTCTACTTACTCTGTGGACGGTGCTCTAGAAATCTCCCAAACACAGAGGTTCGCAGGGTGGTGATTAAGGAAATAAAAACAGCCACTCTGCGATGGAAGGACAGTATGACAGAAGCACAGAGCTGACCCCAGAGGCATTGGGGACCCCCTGGGGTCCTGCCTCCACAGGAAGAGGAGGTCTCGGGGGAGCTAGCTGCCAGGGGATGGGTACAATGACAGAAATACTTACAGGTGCGTCTGCTTCTCCGCCAGTTCTTTGGTTTTCTCCTACAATTATAAAGGAAAATAAACAAACATGAGGAAAACAGGATACCGGGCATGTTTTCAATGACAACACAACCAAATACATGTGGCCCCATCGAGGTAAACACGTGGCATCACTGATCTAGATGTGCTGGGCTCTGCTGATGAGCTACTACAAGCTGTGCTGGAAAGGATATTTTTCCATTTGATTTGATAGCTTCCCATTCCATTACTGAATATGAACTGCGTACTTCCTACAACAAAAATATTTCACAACCATCCCGCTTTCATAATAACTGGCCATTTCAGAAGGAGTAACGACAGGCCACATGTTCCACAAATACCAGAACGAAGTTCTAACACTCTTCTTGTTAAGCTTAATATGTACATTTTTAAATATCAGCCACAGTGATGATCAGTAGATGAATGTGCTTGAGTATTTACAATGTATTTAAACGTCCCCATGGGGACTCAGGTTTAGCCAACATTTTCTGGGGAGGGTGCTACTGGCATGCAGTGTGGGGGGTGGGGGGAGGGATGCCTGCGGCTCAGCACGCTGCTGGGGCCAAGGTGGCCCCACAGCTCAGAACGCTGCCAAACACGCTTGGTGCCACAGTCTATGGACCCAGTCCTAGAGGGAAGCTTTTCAATGTATAAAAGTTGACCGGTCCTGGGTCCCCACCACAGTGACAAGGGCTCTGCAGTGGGTGTTGGCAGGGGTTCAACCCACTGGGGGGAGGGGCAGCATAGGTCACAGGCCCAAAGGGGCTCAGAGCCATAGGCACCACCCTCTCAGGCTCAGGGGAGGGCTGGGCCAAGGGGAGGACACAGGACCAGAGCTTGCCAGACGTGGCCATCCCCACGAGGGTGAAGTGCCACAGCAGACACCCCAGGTTGGGCGGTGTGGATGGGCAGAGAAGGCTGGCCCTCAACCCGAGGGGACACTCAGGCCTTCCACCCTGTGGCCACAGCCCCCCCCCCCAAGCTCCACCCACAGCCCTAGGGCACAAGACAGCCAAGTGAGACTGACCCAGACTGTGTCGCGGATTGTCCTGGCGATCTTGAGCAGGAGCTGCCCGAATGAGCCCGGCTCCAGGCGGGTGGCCGAGTGCTGGACACAGAGGCAGAGGAGGAAGGCGGGGGTCAGCTTGTGGTCATCGCCACCCGGCTCGATCAGCGTCATGATGCACTGCAGCAGCATGTCCTCAACAGCAGGCTCGAACTCCAGGTACAGTGGCCGCGGCGAGGGGAGGGCGGTGGGCGTGGAAGTGGAGGTGCCCCGGGCGGCCGGGAGCAGGGCCCCGCACAGCCTGCAGCTGTGTGGCGCGGCCCGCAGGCGGGCCAGGGCCTGGGCGGGCAGGGGCTGGGCCTGCGCTGGGTCCTTGAACAGCAGCAGGTAGTAGAGGCCCAGGGACAGCAGGTCCCCGTGATGCAGCACCACCGTCCGGCCCCCCACCTCTGAGAAGTTGACTGCGACGGGCGCCCCGGGGATTGGCTCCAGGACCAGCCGGCCAGCCGCCCGCTCTGGGCCCGAGGGCTGGCACCGGCGGAGAGTGCAGTGCAGGGGCAGGATGTCAGGGGCCGACAGGCTGATGCTGGGCTTGCTGGAGGGCGTCCTCTGGCCCACCGTGTGCCGCTCCCGGTTGAGCACATACACCAGGCTGTCCTGAAATGCAAATGCCAGACCTCAGGGGCCAGTGCAGCGTCCCTGTCCATGGTACCTAAGCGTGTGGCCGGGAATTCTGTCCTGGGCAACATAAGTGGTAGGAAATGCTGGCTGGCTGGGGACAGGCGGCCTTTCTGTGTCCCCCAGAGAATGCAGCCCTGCAGCACATGGAGGCCACGTGAGCCATTCACCAGGCATCTGCCATCGCCTGTGCCCTGGTCACCTGCCTGTGTCCTCCCCCAAAGCCAGAGCAGGAAGTGGCCTGAGACACAACACACTGGGGTCAGTAAGTGAGGAGCTGGGTGACCCTCCTCGCAGGGCCCTCTCCCCTGCTGCCTCCTACTGTAACCTGGACAGAGAATACTCTAGAAGCAGAGGACAGGGAGCCCCACCTGCTCCCAGAGTCTAGGATGGGTCCAACGTGGTGGTCCGTACCCACCCAACCCATTTCTACAACCCCGTCATCGTCAGAGCAACTGTGGTCACAGGAGCTCACAGATGACTTAGCTAAGGGCAGGGCCTGCCGCTCCCGTTCCCGAGCAGCCCGGCGGGGCTGGCGGCTTACGTGCTGCTGGCTGTAGCCCTGCAGGAGCAGCAGGTGGGGGGACTCGTAGAGGGAGTAGCGCATGGCGTCCTGGTCCAGCTCCTCAGGGCCCTGGGTGGCAGGCAGGGTAGCGGCAGGGCTCAGGCTGGTCTCGCTGACTGTGCGGCGCAGCCGGGCTGGAGGGGGGCTCCGGGAGCCCCCTGAGGCCAGGGCTGGGGTCCCCTTGGCGCGGCTCCGCTGCAGCCTCCGGGCTTGGGCGTTTATCCCTGAAACAGAAGCCACGCACAGTAACCAGTCAGAGCCCAATGGAGGCCTCTCCAGGCCCGTCTCATGAACCACTGCTCCTAACACCAGTCCCTGAGCTGCAGGACCATCTGGAGGAGGCTGCAAGACTCCGCCCACTGACCATGTCCTCGCCAGGCCCAGCACCTCAGTGCCTCCCCGAAGAGTCAGGCAGCCCAGCTGTCCATGTCCCGAGGCGCATGCGGGAGCCCATGGCACGCCCAGCCCGCCCTGACCAGCCAGCCCCACAGCCTCCCCTCAGGGGGCCAAACCCACTGCAGCATCCACTCCTGCTGGGTCACCACAGGGGTCCCGTGTGGCATCTCGCCACCCCAAAGCTCTGCCCATCCACCTGTCCTGTCCTGCCAGCCCACCTGTGTGTGCATGTGTGCGCATGTGTGCTGTGATGGAAGAGACGGGCACTGCTCACCGTCCCCCCAATTTTACAAGGAGGAAGCAGCCAACTTGCCCACATTACCCAGCCCTCTGAGCCAGATGGTCACCTAGGACAGCATGGCTGCTCGTTCTCCAGGCTGCTTCCACACCCCAGGTTAGTGCGAGTGCGGGCGCGCACACACAGATTCACATACACACCCATACACACACATGCACATACATGTGCACACAAACACTTAGTCTTCTGCATCCAGGGAGCGCGCTTTTAAACTAATGCTGTCGATAAGCTGAGAAGCTATGTGGAACCCAGAAACACCAGTCTCCCATCACCGGTCCCCCTGCCGACCCCAGCGCTTTCTTTCGGAGCCCACTCCATCAGCCCCCATCTGCAGCAACCCTTCCAAAAACCACTCCAAACCAAACCAGACAAAGCCAGAGGAAGTGTGGCAGGTGGGGGAGCGAACTGGGGCCAAGGGCTGTCTTACCGGGAGCTGAAGCCACGCGTGCTGACCGGCCTGCCCTTCCAGAAGGAAGCCTGCTCCTCTGCAGCCCGCAGGGGGCCTGGGCTGCGGGAGGGGAGGCGGGAGGGGAGGCTGCAGAGCCAAGCCCAGCCGCAGTGCGAGGCTGTCAGTGCGAGGCTGTCAGCGCTCCCTACAGCAGCAGAGCCAGGCCAGCGACTGGCAGAGAGGAGCAGGCCTGGGCAGGGGCGCACAGGGAAGAGGGGTGGGCAGCGGGGGAGGTTCAGCAGGCAGGAGGCGGGGCGGAGGAAAGATGCGTGGGGGGGCTGGGGGGGCAGGCAGGGGGGGCAGGCCCTGTCCCACTTCCACTCTTTCGTGAATGCCAGACCCCAGGGCTTGTGGCATCATTGCACAAACATGGGACCACATGTGAAAGAAAATTTAAAAACTAGTCCAAAATGACGTTCTAGCACCCAAGCTTTCCCTCCATCTAGGATGGGGCTACAGGAGAAGATACGCCTCAGCGCCAACTTCCAGAAGTCCTGGGGTTCCCAGGCAGCCGCAGAGCGCGAGAAGGCCCCTGGGTCAGGGTTGAAGGGCTGGAGCTGGGGAGCTATGGCTCCCAGCGCTGTCAGGGGTGAAGCAGCAGCAGCTCGTGTCCACAGCCGCTGGACCGCCAAGGTCAGACGGCCAGCATGCAGAGCAATCCACATGGTCGAGCAGACACGACCCCATGCCCACGCGGCTGGCGGCATGGCCAGGTGGACCCTCACACATGCATGAACACTTGTGCAAGGCGGCCTCCAACCCGGCCACAGGACCCTCGTGGGGTGGGACCCTGACGGACACCGTGATTGTATTAGAAACTTCTCTGCAAAGGAACATAAAGGCGAACTGCAGAGTGCGAGGAGACGTTTGCAGGACCACCAGAAGGAGGGCTCCACAACCCATGTGGAAAAGGCGGACAACCCAGTTTCTACTCTGCCTCTACTTGAAGCATTTCGAAATAAAGAAGAGGAAAGAATGAGTGAGAGACAGGCACAGAAGAAGAGCTATAAAGCTGTTCGACATCACAACCACTGAAGGAAACACAAACTGAAACAAAGATATGTTTCTCCCCTGTCCAATTATCAGGTTTTTAAGGACAGAATCATGATAGTGAAGATAAGGAGAGACTGCTGGTGGGAATATAAACTGGCTCTGAACCCCCAAATTTTAAAAATAGCTATCCAGATATTGCCATCCACATCAAGTTAGATATAAATACATCTATGTCTAAAACTGTCTCCATCCTTCCACTTTTAAGTTGCTCTCCTGCAGAAATAATCAGAAAGGAATCAAACATTTCGGCACAAGGATGTTTATATAAGCAGTACTTATAAAAAGAGAAAAATGGGAGACCGTCTAGAATTCCAACAGGGAGATGGTCAGGCACAGTCATTCCCTGGCTCGCATCACAACCAACCTTCCTCACGATATGAGGAAATAAACATATTAAATTAAAAACCTGTGTACATAGATACGTTGATTTAAGTTATTTAAGAAAATAAATGCAATACTAAGAAAAGCGTGGAATAAAAGGCACTGGGAGGTGCCTTTACTGATGGTTTTTATTCTCTTCTTTATACTTCCACTTATTTTCCAACTTTCAACAATGCATATGTCTTATTATTTAACGTAGGGGAAAATTACATTTTAAAGTACTGAGGAGAAAAAAAAAAGGTGAAGGGGAATAAGAAGTCCAAATTTCCAGGTATAAAACAAGTAAATCATGGGGATGTAATGTACAGCATGGGGAACACAGTCAATAACATTGTGACAGCCTGGGACGGTTCAGGTGGTTGCTGGACTTATCATGGTGATCACTTCTTTAGGCATATAAATGTTGAACTATGGTGTACACTTGAAACTAATATAATATTGTATGTTAGCTATATTTTAATTTTAAAAACTTTTAAAGAAAAAAATAAAATACTAAGGAGCATTATTTCCATGGTAAAACTTGGGCCTTCTCATGCTAATTAGAGTCTTGATCAGGGAAAAGCATCCCCTCTCTAGAGGGAACTAATAACCTAATTAAGATAATGGGTAACTGAGTAGATAAAATGCTTAAGCCATTTGTTAGTCACAGATGGAAATGGAGCCTTCCAGAGCTGTGCCAAAGAGAGAGCAGTGTGGCATAGCAGGAATTCTCTCTAGCTGAAACCGAAGGCCACGTCTAGTCCCTGAGATGACTCTAAACCCTTTCTCACAGAGGATCGTGGAAATACAGTAACAGCTAACAGGCCTGGTGCTCGCTCCTACAAACGCTAACAACCTATCACCACGAGGACCGGTTCCATCGCTGACACCACCAGATGTGCGTTCCCAGATCCACTGGGGAACCAGCTCCTCTGTCCCAGAGCTTACCTTTTATTAAGCATGTTGGCTCTCTGCCCACCCCCCACCCCCACCCTGTGCTGTGTCTGCATCCTGGTGACGCTCACATCACAGCCCACGTCCCACTGTTCTGAGATGAGCTCCCCACGCTCATCTCAGGTTGGAAGGGAGGGTTGAGGAAACTGCCTTAGAAGTAGAGCAAAAACACAAAAAAGGAGAATCTAGAAGAGAAAAAAAAAATCAGAAACCACGTGTCAGTCCAGGAGGCCCAGAAGCTGAGGACCAGAAGAGCCAGGAGAAATCATCAAAGGAATAATAATAATTTTTCAGAACTGAAGAGCATGAGTTTCAGAATAAAATGGTCCATTAAAAGTCTAACACACCATGGAGGTTAAAAATTAATAAAGGGTGAAAATATGCAAATGGTATATTTTAATGACTTAATAAACAGAATTATGGAAGATGTAAGTGTAATAATGGATATAACCATAATTGTTTTAATAAAAAAGTAAAAGCTTAACACTAGGATGAAAACACACCAAGATACATATTGTGAATTTTCAGAACGAGGCTGGGGAGGAGGCAAAGAAAGCAAGTGTGTTTCCAGAGAGAAGGAAGAGATTAAGTGCAAAGAGGACTGAGAGTGAGAATGTGTGGCAAGTTCTCACAGGGTGCGGGAGCTTAGAAGAAATGCACCCGTGCCTTCAAAATTCTAGGAAAGAAAACTCTTGTCCTTCTAAAACTCTATACTCAGCTAAAACAACTAATCAAGCGTTAAAGTAGAATCCATATCTTTTCAGACATACAGCATTTTAAGCAATTTTAGCTCTCATGTACACTTTCTCAGGAAGCCACCGGAGGAGATATTCCACCAAAATGAGGGCATAACCTAGAACAAGGAAGAGGGAACGAGAAGGAGAAACGGGGGACTCCTCGGGGTGAGTCACAGGGAATGGCAGCTAAGAGCGGGCTTTGAGAGCAGCCCACCCACTGAAGTAGGCGGAAGCCTCCAAAACACTAAAGTCGACAAAAGACATCATATATCTGAGCACCTTGAAAAGAGGTAAGATAATTGGCAGAGAGTCGGGAATACTGAAATAGAAGTACCAAGAAAAAAGAGTGAACACATAATCCTGACAACAATTAATTTCCAAGAAACTAAAAGTTAGACAAGAAGGAAGAGTAATCTTTGTATACACCAGTCTTGAGTTGTAAAAAGCTATCCCTGGTCATAAAAATAAATAAACTCTGATTACTAATCTAACCAAAACTATGACTCTGCGGGGAGGACAGGGCAACAGCCTGGGCGTTTCAAAAGAGGGAGGGACACCAAGAAGAGCTACATCCTTGACTTCATGGAAGGACATCATCAGAGAATGCCCAAAATTTTAAAAATCAAGGAGTAGCAGGATAAATGTTATTTTAAGATGTGGAATTGAATGCCAAAAAAGAAACAGCTCACAGGTGAAAGTGATTTCCTCTGGGGAGCACAAAATCGGGAAGAGGGAAGGCTGGGCAGGGAACCAGGGTTTGCGTTTCACTTGTTTTTGCTTTTAATTAGCAGTAAGAAAACATGGTTTTAATTGTGCAGATGTATAACTTTGGTGAAAATAAGTAGAAGTTTTTAAATGTACATACTTTTCAATCTACTGAATGAATGAATGAAAGCACACATTTGTGGTGTATATTTCATCAATCCTAGACACACTTTTGTTTACATTTTAATGTATTTGAAACTGGCAAGCATCCTA